CTAAAAGGGGTGGGCACAGTGACTCATGCCTGTAATCTCAGCGTTTCGGGAGGCCGAGGCAGGAGGATTGCTTGAGCCCAGGAGTTTAGGACCAGCCCGGGCAATACAGTGAGACCCTCCCTACAAAAAAATTTAAAAATTAGCCAAGCATGGTGGAATGTGCCTGTAGTCCCAGCTGCTCAGGAGATTGAGGTGGGAGGATCGTTTGAGCCTAGAAGGTGGAGGTTGCAGTGAGCTGAGATCATGTCACTGCACTCCAGCCTGGGAGAGGAGCCAGACTCTGTCTCAAACAAAAAAAGAAAGAAAGTTTCTAGAAGAGTCACACATGGAAACTATGGCAATGAAAAGGCTGAGTGATAAAGCAAGTCTTGAAAAAATGTATAGAATACTATTTACATAGAGCTTACAGACATGCAAAATTACAAATTTTTTGGGGGGGAATAAAAATGTGGTCAAAATATAAAGAAAAGTAAGGGAATCATAAATATAAATGTAACATTCAGGGATCAGTTACCTCTGAGAGAAGCGGGAAGGAGCTATGAGGAGGGGTACAGGCAGGGCATGTGTTATTCTCTTTCTTACACTAGGTGCTGGGTGCAAGAGCTTATAAATGCATTCTTAATCTTTGCACATGTATTAATGTTGTTTTGTGGTCACTAAGTAACAAAAATAATATTTAAAAAAAATGTTTTAAGACATCAGAACCTTAAACATTATACACAAGAATAAGGCCACCATCCCAAGGCAACTGACTTGTCACCTCTTTTCAAAGAGCTGGGTAGATGAGGCAGATGTTCTGGGTGGAGGGCAGGACAAGAGTTTGGAGTCTGCTCTGCTCTCTTTTCATGCTGGGCTGTCGAGGGGGTGGGAAGGTGGGCAGTGCATATCTTAGGCAGCCAGGCCTCTGTTACATTTGCAAAACTGGTCTGCAGATGCAGCACATGATAAAGAGCTCTGTCCAGAACCACCCGCCACATTGCTGATTGCCCTGGCAAACACATGCCTGCCAGATAACATCTTTAATATCCAGGGGGAAATGAATTTCCCTGCTTGGTCCGCCTATTTGGCCTAGCCTCTCATCACAATCAGCTTATCTAGCATATCTGCCTCTCCCGGTACAGAGAAGAGAAATTCTTCTTCTGCCACTGAGCTTTCTGCTACTGCTAAGAACACACTGTTAAAATGGCAGGGCGTGATGTTGGTCATGCTTCGTTTTCTTCCTTCCTCCATTCACTTTTATGGATGGCTTTTGCATTAGAGCTGTGCCAGGGCCCACGAAACCTGGGATGAATCAGGAATGAACCCCATTCTGGAAGAGTGGGCAGTCCAGTGGTGTAGACAGACTAGAAAGCAAATAATCACAGAACACAGTGTAATGGGCCTGGTGCGGTGGCTCATGCCTATAATCCCAACACTTTGGGAGACTGGGGTGGGCAGATTACATGAGGTTGTAAGTTCAAAACCAGTCTGGCCAACATGGAGACCTCCCATCTCTACTAAAAATACAAAAAGTAGGCTGGGCACGGTGGCTCACACCTGTAATTCCAGCACTTTGGGAGGCCGAGGCAGGCGGATCACCTGAGGTCGCAAGTTCGACACCAGCCTGACCAACATGGAGAAACTCCGTCTGTACTAAAAATACAAAATTAGCTGGGTGTGGTGGTGCATGCCTGTGATCCCAGCTACTTGGAGGGTGAGGCCAGAGAATTGCTTGAATCCGGGAGGCAGAGGTTGTGCTGAGCCAAGATCGAGCCATTGCAACTCTAGCCTGGGCAATAAGAGTGAAACTCCATCTCAAAAAAAAAAAAAAAAGTAGCCAGCCGTCCTGGCGCATGCCTATAATTCCAGAATTCCAGCTATTTGGGAGGCTGAGACACAAGAGTTGCTTGAACCCGGGAGTTGGGGGTTGCAGTGAACTGAGATGGCGCCAGTGCACTCCAGCCTGGGCGACAGAGCAAGACTGTCTCTGGAAAAAAAAAAAAGAGTATAATAGAGGCAATGGAGCCACAGGAGAAAAGCAGGGTGAAAAGCTTAATTTCACCAAGGTGGTGGTCTGGGAATGTTTCCAGAGGAAATGAATTTTTATTTCCTCCACAATAAAGTGTGCGTGTGTGTGTGTGTGTGTGTGTGTGTGTGTGTGTATATATATATATATATATAAATTATGTATTATATATATTATGTGTATTATATATAAATTATATATATATGTTATATATAATATACATATATAAATTATATATGTATCTGTCGCCCAGGCTGGAGTATAGTGGTGAGATCTCGGCTCACTGGAACCTCTGCCTCCCAGGTTCAAGAGGTTCTCCTGCCTCAGCCTCCCAAGTAGCTGGGATTACAGGCACACACCACCATGCCCGGCTAATTTTTGTACTTTTAGTAGAGATGGGTTTCACCAAGTTGGCCAGGGTGGCCTTGAAATCCTGACTTCAACTGATCTACCCACTTCGGCCTCCCAAAGTTCTGAGATTACAGGCATGAGCCATTGTGCCTGGCCTCTAAAGTTATTTATTTATTTTTTTGAGAAGGAGTCTTGGGCAGCTTGCTCCATTGCCCAAGCTGGAGTACAGTGGGGCCATGTCAGCTCACTGCAACCTCTGCCTCCCAGGTTCAAGTGATTCTCCTGCCTCAGCCTCCTGAGTAGTTAGGACTACAGGCATGGGCCACCATGCCCAGCTAATTTTTGTATTTTTACTAGAGACGGGTTTTCACCATGTTGGCCAGGATGGTCTCCATCTCTTGACATTGTGATCTACCCACCTCAGCATCTCAAAATGCTGGGACGTGTGCCACCACACATGGCCAAGTAAATATTTTTTATTATGGAGGTGATACATGCAATTACAGAAAAATGAGAATACTGAAAAGGGATATTAAAAACATTCGTTTCATTGGAACCGAGTCATTAAAAATAACCAATAATAATAAAACAAAAAAAATTCGTTTCTCTCCACCAGAACAATCATTGTTAATCTCTTAGTGTATCTCAAAAGGCGCTAATTGAACTGAATCTTAAAAGTTGAGTAGGAGGTATTGAAGTTTTATTCCTTAAACTGTGACGTGGGTATCTCAGTGTTTTACAGTGCTTCTTAATCTATGTATACATTAAATGTATTATTTTTAAAATTAATTGAGACGGTCTCACCAGGTGCAGTGGCTAACACCTATAATCCTGGCACTTTGGGAGGCCGAGATGGGCGAATCACAAGGTCAGGAGTTAGAGACCAGCCTGGCCAACATGGTGAAACCTCATCTCTACTAAAAATAAAAATAAATAAAATTAGCTGGGTGTAATGGCGGGCACCTGTAGTCCCAGCTACTTGGGAGGCTGAGGCAGGAGAATCGTTTGAACCCGGGAAGCGGAGGTTGCAGTGAGTCGAGATCGCGCCACACTGCATTCTAAAACCGAAAAAAAAAAAAAACCCGTCTCAAAAAAAAAAAAAAAAAAAAAAGAGAGAGACAGGGATCTCACTCTGTTGCCCAGAGCCCAGGGTGTTCATGGTTCACTGCAGCCTCTACCCCCTGGGCTTAAATGATCCTCCCACCCCAGCCCCCAGACTATCTGGGACTAATCACATGCCACCACCGCAGGCCTCCTGCATTCTTGTATGTATACAGTATCTCACAATTAAAGGGTAAATAAACATAAGATCTAGTCAAGGGTATTGAGAGGACTGGCCTAGATATTTCATATATATATATATATATTTTTAAAGACAGGGTTTCGGCCAGGCGCGGTGGCTCAAGCCTGTAATCCCAGCACTTTGGGAGGCCGAGGCGGGTGGATCACGAGGTCAAGAGATCGAGACCATCCTGGTCAACACAGTGAAACCCCGTCTCTACTAAAAATACAAAAAATTAGCTGGGCATGGTGGCGCGTGCCTGTAATCCCAGCTACTCAGGAGGCTGAGGCAGGAGAATTGCCTGAACCCAGG